CGCTCCAAGCGGCAGGTTTGATAACAAGGAATCATTCTGTGTTAACTCTCTCCAACATTAAAAAACAATTCACTTTACTACAAACACACCAAATCGAAAAGTGCAACCAGGCTAGCAGCAGCGCTCCAAGCGGCAGGTTTGATAACAAGGAATCATTCTGTGTTAACTCTCTCCAACATTTAAAAACAATTCACTCAAGTCGAAGAGTGTCCCCCTTCCCAGTGGCACAGCGGTATGTCTGCGGGCTTACAATGCTAGAAACCGGGTTTCGATACTGGTGAGCAGAGCATAGGTAGCCCATTGTTTAACTTTTTGCTCTACTACAAACAAACCAAACCGAAAAGTACAATCAGGCTAGCAACAGCGCTCCAAGCGGCAGGTTTGATAACAAGGAATCATTCTGTGTTAACTCTCTCCAACATTTAAAAAAATTCACTTTACTACAAACAAACCAAACCGAAAAGTGCAATCAGGCTAGCAACAGCGCTCCAAGCGGCAGGTTTGATAACAAGGAATCATTCTGTGTTAACTCTCTCCAACATTTAAAAAAATTCACTTTACTACAAACAAACCAAATCGAAAAGTGCAATCAGGCTAGCAGCAGCGCTCCAAGCGGCAGGTTTGATAAAAAGAGAAGCTAACAGAATAAGTGAAACCATTTCCGTTTTAGTTTACGTGTTTAGTAAACACACTAATTATCGACTGCACAAGTTTTTCCTTGTTGTACAACATTAATTTGTTTCTTTCCCACATTTTTTAAATCTCTTGAATTTTTCAGCAGTGACGAAAAGTATGAAAGTTCAGTTTTAACATCATGAGTTAGGTGTTATCAACAGATACAGATAATATAACTTTCATACTAGTCTTTTCTGTTGTTGTATACTCACTATTCTAGTATCACTGGTGTAAGAAGTATAAAAAACTGGCCAAATATATGTCAGTAAAACGTCTTAAATACAAAGTAATCTTAAACACTCTTAACCAGAATATTAGGTTGTACCATGCCCTAAAAACATATGATATTTCTAAGTCTGAAAACTGATTTTATAAGAACCGGAATCGTAAGATTTTTTATGTTAAATCATTTGTAAAACGTGCTACTAACACTGAGAATCGGCTATGTGTAATATTACATTATTTACTGTGTATCAACAAGGTCTCCATTAATCATATGTTTGCTTTAAATTTCTTAATTTACCATTTATAAACATGCTGGTATGTGTACCTATTTTATAAAATTCAGTACAAAATATTAAATTTAATATCGTATAATACGTAATGTGATTCTTCGTGTACTTAGTACAAACCCTTGAAAAACCGGGGAAAGTGATGTACAAGAAACTAAAGGTCAATCCAGAGAAAGGTGATGCACAAGAAACTAAAGGTTAGTCCAGAGAAAAGTGATGCACACGAAACTAAAGGTCAATCCAGAGAAAAGTGATGCACACGAAACTAAAGGTCAGTCCAGAGAAAGGTGATGCACAAGAAACTAAAGGTCAATCCAGAGAAAGGCCTTTAGTTTCTTGTGCATCATCAATCCAGAGAAAGGTAATGCACAAGAAACTAAAGGTCAATCCAGAGAAAGGTGATGCACAAGAAACTAAAGGTCAATCCAGAGAAAGGTGATGCACACGAAACTAAAGGTCAATCCAGAGAAGCAGTTGAACTTTGTCATGGAATGTATTTTACTTGTTCAAGTGGTGGATGACAGCTGGCTTGAAAACGTCTTGGGGACCGACCTCCACGACCAATAGAACATATACAACTGAATTATCTGGAGGAGAAACAAATCCTCATGGATTCATTGAAAAGCCCCCTTCATGACCCAAAGATGGGCAGGATTTACAAGCGGTGCCACCATCATTTTTTTTTTTTACAGATCCTAGTTTATGAACTGTTATGGTCATTGGTGCACGTTATCAACACATTAGCTAAGGTGGTGTTATTCACTTTGCAAGAGAAGGGCATTCAGCAGGATTCTGTAAGATGGTGTACCACCACATATTACCAATGTTGTGAAGAACCAGCTATGCAATATGTTTTTGGTGAATGAATCAACAGTAATGGCTTCCTGAATATTTTGTCATCATCGGATTTCTAATCGTGAGGCCTGAAAGCCCCACGATTGTTCACGGACGACAGTTGACCTCGAGAACAGCATTCAGCGCCACACTCTTGCCATTCCCACTAGTTAGTTACGTACAGTATGTTACAATGGCTGGACAATGTTATTGAGAATGGTGTAATCATTACTTTACGTAATTCATCAAACAATTCACTGCTGAACTGTTG